TCGATTGCTCGTTCCCCGAGATAACGACCACCGATCCCTGTGTTATCTGTGCCACCATCTATGCAGCAACGAGCTGCATGATGCGGGTACTCTGAGCGCTTTGCAGCGCGTCATGTTTGTACCAGAGGAAGAACGTGACGTCTCTCTCGTACGAGCCCGAGCCCGAGCCGAACTCAGCGAGACGCTTGCTCCGCCCAGCCAGGAAGCCTCGCAAGACTAACGCTCCTCCGTCGTCACAACACGATCAAGCTGGCAAGGTGTTGAACGAGCGGCGTCAGTACACAGTGGACTGGGTTTCCACTGCGGTGCTCGAGTCGGGTGACGACATGAAGACCAGCGACGGGTTCACCCCGCGGCGGTATGCCAGGATATTATCGTCTTCGCTATCGGAGTCCATGGGGAGGGGATTTCTAGACTAACTTATATTCTGATTCCGTTCGTTGTGCTAATTGCCCATGAAAGTTTTGCTGCAAAACTTTTTGAGATGCAAAACTTTTGCATCTCAAAAAGTGGAACCAAACAAAGAATTATCAGATATGTTTCTCAGATTCTCGTGTCTCTATTACATCCCATTCGTTACCCTGCTCTCCGAGATTTGGAATTTAAGAACGCAGACTGGTCTGGGTTCTTAAATCTGAAGACTGGTTAGCGAATTGAAATACGCAAACGCAGACTGCGGCTGAATTGAATTAATTGAACTTCTTGCTGCGCAAGTGTTGAGACTTCACGCGTTTCGTTAACATTGCCTTTACGCTCTACATTTAGTTTTCTAATGACGCTCCACAGTGACGCTACAGTAGCGCTTATATTTTGCACTCTAAACAGTGGTGGTTTTCGTCGGCTTGGACGTCTTGTCAGAAATAGTTTGCTGCTGTGAAGTGGTCGTCGCAGAACCGGCGCAGGAGTCCTCACTAGCTTGGGCAAGTTTAAGCTTCGGATTTTTGCAACTAGCGAGCTCGAGATGGCACGAGCTTGAGTAAGTAACTCCATCAGAGCCGCACACGGGCGAATAAATGTCGGGGCAAGCACCAGCGCAGTTTTTGCTGGACGTCGAGTTTCCACTTCCGCTGACGCCGTCAGAGCCGAGACTACCGATACCGCTGGCGCTGGCCGAAGGAGTTTTCGTTGACTTGGATGCCTTCGAACTCTTAGTGCGATTGTCTGACTTCTTGGGGGCTTTGGTCCCTTTCATTGAACTCTCTTTGCTGGCTGAATCATCGCCGGCGCTGTCGTCACGCGAGGCACCAAAAGATCGTCCATAGAGCCTTTTATACTCTGCCAGGATGTCTACGTCCTTCTTCTGGTTCTTGCACTTGGCCATCCGCATGTAGCACTCGTTCGAGTACGTCTTCCCACTCTCGTCGCTCACGGGATCGTACACATCGAGACACGCGTCAGGACACGCAGTGGCAATGCTGCCTGACTTCGATGATTCAGCTGACGAAGTTATTGACCCGCCAGCGCATTCGCCTACTGCCAACAAACTCAGTTCTGCCGTTTTGCATAGGGCAATGCCGAACGCGCAGTCGTTCGTATACGTCACGCCGTCAGACCCACAAATTGGTTCGTAGTCGGTCGGACAGATTGCATCACATTTGTAGCCATTGCCAGAGCCCGAGGCGTCCCAGGTAAAATCCCACGACTCCCCGGAGTTCGACGCAGAGTTTGAGTCCACCGCTGAGTCCTTAAGTTTAGAACCCTTCAAAGAATTACCAGCGTGGACAACGGTGAAGGCGATCGCTGCAAACATGATACCGAAATTTGGCTTCATTTTTCGACTGGGAAGACAGCTAAGCACACTTGTGTTCTCTGCCAGAAAACCTAGAATGCCGGCGGACACGACACGCGATTCGCGATTCGCGAAGTGCAATCGGTACATACGTTGTACCAAATACCTGTACACTGTATTAAACAAAGCCCTTGTCGCCTCGATCAGATTGTTCGACTCGAACAGTCGAACTTCGAGAGGCTCTGATCCGGGGAAAGCCGTACGATGTCTATGCGCGTTGGCAACAGCAACACATCTTTCCTGTTGCACAAGCCGTTTACAGTACCGGTACTCTTTATCTTTAATAATACTGTATTAATACATGTAAGTGGATATTTAAGAAATAGTTTAGAGTCTATTCTCTTATTAATACTGGTTAGAGCTTCTAAAAACGGAAATTATTAATCTTGCTCAACTAAATATGCCGTCTAACGATCCACTGTAGGAATGCTTGTTCAACAGCCTCTACAACCAGCTCTGTTGTTGACGACAGCACCACGATACGGTCTACGCTACAGGGTTCAGCTTTAGTGAAATCCATTGCTAATGCGTTTATGATTTAGAAAACCATAAGAACAACTCGCTGGTGTTACGATTTCTGATTCGAGACACTAGTGCCCATCTCTATCGGTACTATATTAAATAGAAATTATACTTCGAAGTATTACATAGTATCATCACTAAGTATTTATAAATAACTGGGAAAGCCGATGCTTCTATTGTTAAACCGCTTGCTTTATAAGAACTTTTAAAATAATTACTAAATAGTACTCTAGTGCAAAATTTAAAAAAAACGAGGGGGTTTTCATGTGATCCAACAGCTTGCAGCAAAACGATTCGCGACGTACAATCGCAGTTTCGATTCGGCAGCGCCATCTGTATGATTAGCTGCAGCTGGAAAGCGGACCTTTCAGGCTGGCCTTTCCAGCCTGCCTGGAATCCAGGGGGATTGTTATAAAAAAAAACTAAAAAGTGCGGGCTATTTATGCAATTATGCTTTAAGATGCTGTAATTTTTACGAGAGGCGGTGCTTTCGACTCTTTCCCATCAGTATTTAGGACATTTTAGGGTTTTAATTTTTTGCTAAAATACCCTAAAATTTGATTTGATGTTACAAAGGTCCACGTGAGCAGATGGAAGCGCGCGTAGCCAAAGCAACCGCGCGGGTACCCTCAAAGCTGGACTCCCTGGTATTTGCGAAGGCAAGACCAGCAATGAGCACCGCTTTGAGCCGCGCATTGCACAGGCCAGTTGAGACAATCCTTTTTTAGGAGAGATTGAGGTAACTAACGCGACATTGAAAAGCTTTCCTCTTACACTTATTATCAACATGTTCTAAAGGCTTGGCTTCATTAAGATTGCTTTTTAGATTTCTGTATGGGAGTGACTTGAGTCACCAACGAAATCGCACAGCAGGGACAGCCATTACAATTTGGCGACGGTAATCTATCATAATTCCCCAGAAGATAATTCTCTACGTTTGAAATTTTAGAAAAAATGAGGGACGATTGCGAGCCTCTCATTTCATAACCCCACCCCCGAGAACAAGCCACATGTGGCGCGCGTCCACCACCTCACCACGCTCTGTAACTGTTTCGCTTCTGGATATATGTGC